CAGACAGACAAAATATGTGAAAATGTGGTTTAAACAATAGAAAAATGAAGTGAATTAAAAATATTAAAATAAATTATGGTTTAATTATTTAGAACTACTACAAAAATGAAAACTTACATTTTAATTTGTGCTAAATGAACATGAAACATCTGCAGACTGACTGAGCATGTGCTGCTCCTCTAGAGGCCCTGTCACACTAGACAACTTGTGAAACATTTTTATGTCTAAATTGCTAATAAAAGTGATATATTTGATCAATTTGTTAGAATTACATTATGWACATGCCAAAAAGAAGCTTCCTGTTGATTTTTTTTTTTCAATTCCATTTTCAGCATCTTGTTTATGTGTTGTTTAAATGTTTATAAGTTGGCATAAGTTGTCTAGTGTGACGGGGCCTTTACTCATTACCCAGGCGAAAGAAAAAGTAGTTCCCACTGACTGCGTTTGATTTAGACAACATTTCAATAGTTTGATTGCTTTGCACTATGTTCCTGTTAATGATATTAACTGAAATGACTGAAGTATCAAAGTATTGATGTTTTGATTCTAGAATCAATTTTAGTGCATGAAGTTCTGGTATTGGTAGTATCTGTACTGCAGTATCAATCTGCACATTACTACTACATGGTGGTCATTGACTTTAGTACAGCAAGATCAAGATCAAGCTGCAGTAACYTTCACCAAAGCTCTTGTGTCATAAAAATTGCATTGATGATCTGCATTCCGCTCCAAGCAAATGAATTTTGCACTTGACTGGCTTTTTTTAAGGAGGAAAAAAGTGAACTTCAATAACTTTAAACTAACTCTAAAAGATAGAAAATACTGTATGTTAAAACTATAAAGGATCTTATGGTTTCCATTAGGACTTTTCTAACAGAAAACGTCTATAACCTGGTCCATTTAATAGGCATTCAACATCAGGCCAGATATCAGTTGTTCATGTCTGAAGTGTCCCGTTCAGCTTTTAGGACTTGTGACAAAGTCAGTCAAAGTCGGTCAGGATCTGCAGCCCACTAACAAAACCTGACAACCATGTGAAGACAGATTGGGTGAAACTGGGTGAAATTTCCTTCTCCCTCACCCTGTTCGGTGTCCCGACCAAACTCATAACTCACACAGGCGTGCAGCCGCGTCTGAGTGAGTTTCCAGACGGGAAAATATCATGAAAATACCAACCGCTTTGAAGAGACCCGGTGTTTGGCAGCAAAGGAGGCCAAGGCACGTTCAGACATCCTGTGGTTTCATGTCAGTCTAGTGTCTCACACACACACACAGGCACACACACACACACACACACACACACACACACACAC